CAGCGCATGTTGTATCATGAACGGTACTTTTTTCTTTATATGCGGTGTTTATTGCATTTTACACGGTGATACTTTTATCATACGGGGTGCTCTTTAAATCATGCACTGTAATTAAGGGGTTATACGCGGTACTATCTTGTTGAAGTGACTTTTTCCCGTTATATGTGGTGCTTTTCTTATTATGTGGGGTGGCTAGTTCATCATAGGCGGTGCCTCCTCCTTACGGTGCTTTCCTCCCATTATACTCGGTGCTTTTTTTTGTTATAATCATGGGACTTCGTTCTCGATTGATTTGAAACGAGGCCATGCAACTACACAAGGAAGTCAAAATGGCGGCCACCGTGGATAGGTTGGATGTTATGGCTTGTATTCTAAAAAAAACTTAGTTTAGGTCATTTGACCGAGCTGGTCCATAGGGAAAAGATTACTCCAGATATAATCTCCATGCTGACTCATGAAATGAATCAATTAGGGATAACCAGGAGGGTGGACGTGATGAATTTGTGCTTACAGTGTTGCACATACGGTAGGCAGAAACCAGAAAAAAACTGTGTAGGATGCAGTGCACCGGAATTTGACATTCCTAAATCAGTACTGGAAGATCATTTGGAAGAGGGCTTCACAGTTGAGGAGATTTTGTGTATGCTTTCAGTCAGTGAAAGAACAATTTATCGCAGAATGGAAAGATATGAACTATGGGCTTCAACAATTCTTTGAACAATTCTTTGAAAAAGAAATGACACTCAGCCAAATGGAGACATCTTGAGGCAATCGCAGATAAATTGCAGGTAGAGAATAATTCCAAGCCTTTTTGGAACTACATGCGTTCAATAAGAAGACGAACTAACGACCTATTGTTCCTAAAAGATGGAAGTGTAGAAATTACTTGGGATCAGGAGATTGCACAACATATGAACGCATATTTTGCATCAGTATTTGCACAAGAACAAAAGTCTCTTCCAGAATTTGCTCATGTTCTCAATGAAAAGTTGTGCAATGTATTATGTACACCTAGCGAAGTGGAAAAACATCTCAAAAACCTAAACATACACAAGTCCCCAGGTTCTGATAAATTATTGCCTTGTATCCTAAAAGACTGCACATTGGAACTATCTACGTCACTTTGTAACTTATTTAACAAGTCGTTCCAACTCGGCTCGCTACCCAATGACTGGAAAATTGCACACGTTATTCCAGTCTATAAAAAGGGACCAAAATATAAAAAGGAAAACTATCGCTAGGTCTTCCTAACATCTATCATCAGTATAACGGCAGAGAAGATTGTGAAATCGAGAGTTGTCTCATTTTGGACGGAACACCAACTACTAAACCCAAGCCAATTTGGATACCTCGAAGGCTGATCGACAGTGTCACAACTTTTAAGCTGTTATAATGACTGGTGCTTAACAAGAAATTCGTCTAAAGTGTCTGATGTAATATTTCTGGACCTGTCAAAAGCGTTCGATAGTGTCCCTCATGAGCGCCTACTTTTAAAACTCAATAGGTATGGGATAGACGGGCAGCTGCACCTGTGGGTCAAGAACTTCTTAACCAATCGAAAACAAAGAGTTATGGTACGTGGATCGTACTCGGATTGGTCACCAGTTACATCTGGTGTCCCTCAAGGCTCAGTACTGGGACCGGTTATGTTCCTTATTTATGTGAACGAAATACCTGGCATCATCACGTCTACTGCCAAATTATTTGCCGACGATACCAAAATCTACCGACAGATAAATAATATCGATGATTCTATTGCTTTACAGATAGATCTGACCACCCTCGACCTATGGGCGGATCGTTGGCAGATGAAATTTAATTCTACCAAATGTGAAGTCATGAGAATTACACATAACAGAGACAAAAAGTCCACACGGTACAATATATCGAGTACAGTGTTGAGGAATGTATCTAATTACAAAGATCTTGGAGTTATTATGACTAGTGATCTGAAATGGTCAAAACATGTTGAACAAATAGTTCACAAAGCAAATAAGGTTCTTGGCTTACTTAAACGCACAGTAGGCGGTAAAAACAAAGATATTTTTTCAAACTTGTACAAAACCTTGGTTCGTCCAATCTTGGAATACGCCTGCCCGGTGTGGTCACCACACCTCNATAGCAAATCATGTAATTCGTCTGGGTATTCAAGATCGACTTCCAAAATTAATCCCTTTTACTTTCTTCAGTATAAACCCCAAGGTTTGTTTTATCCAGTCGTTTTTGTGAAAGCCATTTGAATCTCCCAGTTGGAAGGTATTGTGACAGCCCAACCGTACAGATTATTGGCATCGAGGTACATTATATATTTCGAAGGTTCATTCTCATTATAATCTTTCATGTATTTGTTAACGCTTTTCCATATCGATTAGCAATATAACTAGTACCTCCTCTCAAACCTTTTTCAATGAATTGGAACATGTCAATATCAGTCATCAATTCAAGCTTAATGCCAGTCATTTTTAGCATAGCATCCCAAGATAGTCCAGGACTTTTGAAATAGTGGCAAGGATCGAGTTTGTAATATCGAAGACAAGTTTGTCTGAAGTTCTCAAACACATAGGCTGACAACAATATGTCAGACTTTTGGTAGATTATGATAACCACCCATCGTTTTTAACTTGAATTTTTTTCCATAAATTTTGAGCATGTTTATATTCATCATCTGAGATATGTTCATTATTCAATATGCTGTAAAATTCATCTTTTGCTGGCAATTCTGTGTTATGAAATTTATCTTAAATCTTTCTGATGTATATTTGAAAGCTTCTTTGGGAAGATTATTGACTAGTTTATAAAGACTTGAGCTCAAGAATTGAAAACTATCAATGAAAGTAAGATGATTCCCAAGCATCAAAGCCATACACTTTTCCATGTTATTTGGGATTGCATTGATATTCATTTGGCACTCTTCTTCTTTCTTATTTGTGTATTTATTGTTCTTCAAAATCTCTCCAATTTCTAGCATGATGAAGTGAGAATCATATCCTCTCAAATTATGAAAGATCACAGGTATATTACCAGCCATTTCAAAGTTAAGGTTACAAACTGAGCTAACCGCCTCCCGCCTCCCGCCTCCCGGTTAGCTCAGTTGGTCAGAGCCCCATATTCCATTATTCTCCATGATTTGTAGTATCTTGCACTCATTTTGCGTATTTAAGTTAGTGCAGAGATATGTAACCCTACATTTCAGCGATTTCTGTACGTTTTTTAAAGCCTTCCACGAAAAAAATGGATCAGCTCTCGCCTATTCCCTGGCACCCAATATGTTCATCTTTTTATCACAGGACTCGATGGCATTGCAAAAGTTTTCTAACTGGTAGCTTCGTTTGCAAAGGAAGAGGAGGAAAAAGCTACAAGGACAATAGCGGTAGCTCCCGAGTTATCGGTTGCTATTCTCCCTTGCAGTTCCCGACATTTTGCCCTTTACAACTCTCTATCTTACCAACTTATATAAACAACGTCTTTCATACATTTAACCTTTAATGACACTCGACTACGAAAGTACATGTTTTAAAAATTTGGCTGATACAACAACTTTTCGAAGAATGTTACCGGGCTAAAAATTAACTCCAGTGCTTGGTGGCCAATCGGGCAAGTTTCCTTGAATCCTTCGTGGCCCATCCCAAAGTGAAGTTGCCCTCGATTTCCTCCAGTTCAAAGTGAAAAACTTTAATAAACGCCCCATGGCTTTTATTCAAGTTCATTCAAGCACGAAACTCTGGATAAGTCCGGAGTTAGGTGGCAACCACAAAATCAAAATGGCGTCTATATGCAGTGACTGAATGTGGATCGCTCGTGAAATCACTGTTAAAACGGCTCAGAATTTCCACTTAAGCACTAAAAAATTCACTAAAATGGACTATCTTAGAGGCCAGGTAAAGAAACGAAGAGAAAGGTAGTCCAATTAAACTACATACTGAGTTTCATTATTAACTTTGTACTTCCCCTAATTTACATCGCAACTTTTCGAATTTCTGTCGCATAGTCGCACTTCGGGCGTTCAAACCTTAACTTTAGGTGGCCCTGGTCAGTTTTAACTCGCCACTGGCGACCGTGCGACTGCCAATTTTTAGCCCTGATGTGACATGTACTACTTTACTATATTCACGAGCTAAAAAATCGAAATTATGCTTCTCTCCAAGAGGGATTATCGTATTAAAGCTTTTTCAGTTGTTTACTCTCTAATAATTTGCACACTGGTTAACGTGTTTGTAAATTAAATGACAAACTTTTTGCAATAAACTTTTCTACAGGATTGCCTATGGTGGCTCAAGCCTCTGCTCGCCCTATCACGTCTAGGTGGTTGCCTTTGAAAGGTCGAACATCTTTTTTCTGTGGATTTTGAAAAATAATTCAATACAATCAAAAAAATTGGAACAGCTCAGCGTTTCAATATTGGACCTACCATAATTATCAAGAAATGTTGGCAAGAGAAAGTCAGTAATACAGACATCATTGGGATAATCTTAGTGGAAGTAGTGCAGTTGACAATGTACGACTTCTTTCGGGTTTGGAGGACCCGAGTGATTTATAAAAGTTATTTCAGGCAAGGAGGCCCACGTCTATAGAGTCAGAGTCCCACTTTCATACAAAACTATTGTTGATGACGATATTAAAGCACAACAAACTAGCCAAATGAATTAAGGAGAGTGAGTCAAACCAGAGACTTTAAAAATTTCCTACAAAATCTTAAGTCGATTTCTAATAAGAACACATCACAGAAAATGTTAATGCACTCCACAAAAAACTTTACATGGAATGCAATATGTTGGCGCAGATTCCTTACCTGCACCCTTTCCCCCTTACACACACCTCTGACAATTACAACACAAATGAAAACTCATGAGAGAAATAAAAGTGACTAGACTGTCCATATTTTACATACTGCAGAAACAAACAATTTACAATGAGTATTAACAAACCTGTCTTAAGCTCTGCAAAAAGACAATTAATGTTGGTCGCAGAATTCAAAAGAAATGAAAATAAGAATTACTCACCTCTCCACTGGAAGAAGATTTTGCTCTTACAGTCTCCAAACCCTCAAGCAATAACAGTTCATCGTCATGAGCTGCCTCTAAACTTGAGGGGACACTACGAGACACAAATGACGTCACTTCACAAGGAGACACGCCATTGGCAGCGCAGACAACCTTTAGCCATTTCTCTACTTTGTAGTCTTGCTTTGCCCAATCTCGTCTCCAAATCTGCTCCTCTCCTTCTCCCCCCTTGTGCTAGTATGCATGAAATAATGATCATAATAATTAAACTTACGGTTACTGTGAAACTTAGAAACATGAGAACACCACAGACAATATGGAATGTAGCTATCTTTCAAGTAAAAAAAAAAAACAATCCGATGTTTGATTCAAATCAATGTATCAGTGATTTTCTATGAAGTGTAATTTATTCGTGCAAAAATTCCTCTCCCCTGGACAATCCCACCCAATAAATAATTTCAAAAATACCGACCAGTAAAATACCTATAAGGAAAAACTATAGACGATTATACTATATTATAGAAAAATTTGATCTTTGCATCTACCTCATGTTTGAAGGGTAGACTTACGGTCTTTTCGTCCAGAAGCCTTTTCGTGCAAAAGTATTTTCACCTAAGTCTGTTCGTTTGTTAAGTCTTTTTTCGAAGCGAATAAATAACTTTTAGAAGGCTAGATAGGGCTATACAAAGAACTTGTTGCGAGCCATTCAAGTAGTGATGTTACACTTCGTTGCCCTTTTACGCTCAAGACGCTCAACAACAAGCCTAATATTCCCATTTCTTTCGCGTGAAATAATTAAACGGCAAGCAAGTCTTTACTTTTGCCACTATTCAATAAAGTATTTTGCGTTACAACTTCATTCATTCTCTGTGTATTTATCGTAAAATTCAAGACGTTGAATTCGTAAACGAAGATTGGTGACTAAAGGTATCGGTACCAAAATGGCGGCGGCTTGCAACAAGTTCTTTCTATAGCCTTATCTAGCCTTCTAAAAGTAATTCATTTGCTTCGAGAAAAGACTTAACAAGTAAACGAAGAGACTTGGGTAAAAATAATTTGAATATATCAACAAAGTTGAAATGGTAAAGGACTCGATGGCATTGCAAAAGTTTTCTAACTGGTAGCTTCGTTTGCAAAGGAAGAGGAGGAAAAAGCTACAAGGACAATAGCGGTAGCTCCCGAGTTATCGGTTGCTATTCTCCCTTGCAGTTCCCGACATTTTGCCCTTTACAACTCTCTATCTTACCAACTTATATAAACAACGTCTTTCATACATTTAACCTTTAATGACACTCGACTACGAAAGTACATGTTTTAAAAATTTGGCTGATACAACAACTTTTCGAAGAATGTTACCGGGCTAAAAATTAACTCCAGTGCTTGGTGGCCA